TGTCTTGCTCAGACGATAATTATTCATTTGGATAATGATGATAGATGAAAAACCATTTATAGAATAATATTAAGCAAATAAAAGAAAAAGTGTGGAATAATACCAAACGAGAAAGATAAAAAACAAATGATAAATAGAAAATGGAATAATTATATTAATACTTAATGTTTTTTTATTGATTGTCATTCAATAAAATAAAAATTCTTAATTTGTTGAAAATCAAACACTTTTTTCACATTAATATTAAATGTCATATATTATTCCGATTTTTTAAAAATTATCATAAACATTGTAAAATAACACATTTTTATGTAATATATTTAGAACTATATTAATAATCTACTAGTAATTGTAATAATAAATTGTTTAAAGGCTATGAGTATAAAATTAAAAATAAATACAGCATTAAAAAAATCTTTGTGCTAATAATTGCATGAAAGATTATTCCATTAAAAACAATTTTTTTGACATTTAGTTTACTACTAGCTGGTATACCCGTTCTTCGCACGGGTGAACTGAAAAATTAAACAACACAGATTGAAGGAAAAAGAAGTTTTTAATGAGTTAATTTTATGCGAATTGAAAATTAAACAAAAAATGCTTTTTGCATATCTCAGCTAAACAAAAAAACACCTTTGTTAAATTTTAACTATGTAGATCTAATAGCCGATAAAAAGGATTTTTTAAATTTATAATTCCTCGTAACACTCTTGAGGGTCGATTTTTCAAAATACCTCCCTAAGCTGATCTCTGCTCAGCAAAAGTAACACATTCTTAAAAGTTTTGCGTAATGAACGCTTAAAGTAGTGTAAATAATTTATATCTGAAAGTGTAATACATTAATATTACTCTTTCTGTTGTATTTATTTTATTTTAAAATTATAATATTCGTAAGAAACGCTGTTTCTTAAATTATAATGGCGATTCAATGGAAAACATAGCGAAATGTTAACGATAGAGTCAAGTTGGTAAATGCCTAGCTACTTTCGTAGCTCGAGCTTTATTAGAGCTTTGTAAGACCCGCCGTGTAGGGGTGCGATGCACGTTAATACTTTATCTAACCGCATTATGATTTACTGCAGTTTTTTTCATACAATATTTTTTTTGGATCGCTAGATGTACAAATTAAGGGATATACATAAACAAAATACTCCACTTTGGGAAATTTAATCCGTTAGAGCTAATAAATTAAATAAAGATATTCCACTGTAAAATTAATCATATATACCGTTAACTTAAAATAAGTAGTCAAATCATTTTCTAAGGTCTTCATTAACATACAAAAACATAAGACACTTTAATTTTGACAAACTATTTTTTCCGCTAAAATACTCATCATGGAACCCGTGCTGCCATATATCTTGGAAGAGTGGATTTCAAAAAATATTCCTGCTAATTATTGGTAGAATATTCCTTCTAAGTTGATGTGGTGTGGTAGTTAGGAGAAATGGGTGCCAGCTCAGATGTCGTCCACGTTACTTGACTATGGTTCAAAATTACGTGATCCGTTGCCAAAAGCCCTCGTGTAGCTGAACAGTGCAACATTAATATTCACTCACTCTCACACTCCAAGAAATACAGAACAATAGTTATTGCGTTTTTAAGTGTAAAAATAATTATATCTGCCTATTCAATTAAAATTATAGCGTTATAATTAACTACTAACCACAAATAAATTTTGAAAATTTGTCCAAATGATGCAGTGTGAAAAAGAAAGCTTATTTACTTTAAGTATCAGAACTGATAAAAGCATTTATTTGGAAAAAAGATCAATTGCTTACTACCAAATGTGCATAATAAGATGATAAAAAAAACATTAAAATAAAGAGATTTATAACAACCTCTCCCTTCAAAACTTAGTTTGATTCTGTAATAAAAAAATAGGCATTATATCAGAGGAATTAATTAGAAGCGAGCACCTTGCGTAGCCAAAACAAAAAAGGTTTTTCACAAACAAAAGATAGATATATGCAGACGTAGTTTTTTTTTTGCAGCGCATGCCAGAATTGCTAGCAGAAGACAGAATTTTTTCCTACTTACTACAAATATCGTTATATTTTTTGACACTTTTCCCAAATCTTTATAAATTATAGTCTATGCTATAAATTATAGCCTATGTGCTATTCTGATGTATAAGCTATATTACTGTAAAGTTTCATTAAAATCCATTCAGTAGTTTTTGCGTGAAAGACTAACAAAGATTTTCACAAACTTTCACATTTATAATATATATTAGATGCTGACGTGGGCTTTTTTGCTTGCAGATGGCAGAATTTTTTCCTTCTTACTTGACAAATATCGTTATATTTTGGACACTTTTTACAAATTTTTATAAATTATAGCCTATGTGTTATTCTGATGTATAAGCTATATTACTGTAAAGTTTCATTAAAATCCATTCAGTTGTTTTTGCGTGAAAGACCCACAAAGATTTTCACAAACTTTCACATTTATAGTATATATTAGATTAGATAGAATAAAACAGATTATATATATATATATATATATATATTTGCAATTAAATATATAAATATATAAAATATTTATTTTGCAATTAAACTTTTGAAATAACTGGCAAAACTATACAATGATCTTTTGTGTGGAACAATGTTTTTTGTTTGAGCATTTCATGTTTACAAAGGTAAATCTAAAGCAAAAGCCTGTATACCTCTAAAATACTTTTAACAAAAGTGACAAAAAGTTGTTCAAAACAGAGCTTCATTTTGTCTCCATCAGAACAACCAAGATTTTTAGGGTTTATTTTTGTTAATTTTTTTTCAGGGAAGATATGAAACACTTCAGAAGCTTTTTAGCCCATTAAAAACTTCTAACTTTGTTTGGAGACGAACTAACAAACCAATAAAGTGGGAAATAAAAAGAGTACATAGATGTTTACTTTCTCTTCTTCAACAGCGGTTCGGAGTGTCATGATATTTTTAAAGCCTTTATAAAAACTCTTTCAATAACTGAATTGAGATTTAAAGCTTTGTTAAGGGCTTTATGTTTTATCAACATTTTTGTGGTTCTTGGAAACATTTTATCAGTTAATTTTTAGATTTTGCAATTCCTACTATTAATTCCCTCTCTGGCAACATACATACAGTGGGCTACAAAAGTGTTCGTACACTTGCAATTTCTTATAAAATGTAATGTTTTCGACTAATAAAAATTAATATATTGTAATTGTAATTTTTTTCTATCTTCACGTTATTCTTAATGGAATGATATAATTAATTTTCTAAAAATATTATGACTATTTTTTTTAAAAAATTAATAATTAAAAAGCTACTAAAAATTACGCCACAAAAGTCTTCGTACACTTAACAAAAATCTCAACTTAGCTTTAAATATTGTATTTCTTTCTTAATTTAGTACTTAGTAGGATATCTTTTAGTGTCTACAACAACTTTTAAGCGTCTTGGTATAGATTCAATCAGTTTTTTGTAATTTCTGAATCGATTTTCCTCCATTCTTCTATGATTATTGTTTTTACTTCGCATTTTGTGTTTATTTGTCATGTTTTCTTTTTTTACATCAAAATATCACCAAATATGTTCTACTGGGCTAAATAAAGTGATTGAGAGAGGAGGTGTTTTCATAATTTGGGGACAGTTATAGAGACACCAGTGGCGTACAATGAGAGCAGTGCACTTGGCGTATAGAGACACCAGTGGCGTACAATGAGAGCAGTGAACTTGGCGTCATTACCCTGTAAAAAAAATGAAGTAGTCTCCAACATCCAAATTTCGGGTGGATAATTTAAAATTTCTCTTTAAAATAATTAAATAGAGCTCATGATTCATAACACCATGAAAAAATATCAAACTGCCTAATTCTGAGGCCAATTTAAACCCCCATGCCAGAACACCTTCACTTCCATGCTGAAGCATGGAAGTGAAGTTCTTGTTCCACATAAATTCATGGGATTAAACTCATTATTTTTTCATTTACAAGCTATTATAGGCTCATCTGAACCAAAAATGTTGAATTTTCTGCCATCCCAATCAATGTGCTGTCAATTTTGAATTTTCTGAAACTTAATTCCAAGAATCTAGTTGGATCAATAAAACATGGAAGTAGAAGTGTTCTTGCGTGGGGGTGTAAATTGGCCTTAGAATTAGGTAATTTGGTATTTTTTGTTGATATTGTAAATCATGAGCCTATTTAATTATTTCAAAGAGAAATTTTAACTTATCTGCCCGAAATTTGGATTTTGGAGTCTACTTAATTTTTTAACAGGGTAATGACGCCAAGTGCACTGCTCTCATTGTACGCCACTGGTCTCTATAACTGTTCCCAAATTATGAAAACACCTCCTCAATCCCTTTATTTAGCCCAGTAGAACATATTTGGTGAGATTCTGATGTAAAAAAAGAAAACGTGACAAATAAACGCAAAATGCGAAGTGAAAACAATAATCACAGAAGAATGGAGGAAAATCGATTCAGAAATTACAAAAAACTGATTAAATCTATACCAAGTTGTTGTGGACACTAAAAGATATCCTACTAAGTACTAAATTAAGAAATACAATATTTAAAGCTAAACATTGAGATTTTTGTTAAGTGTCGAAGACTTTTGTGGCGTAATTTTTTAGAAGCTTTTTGATAATTAATTTTTTAAAAAAATAGTCATAATATTTTTAGAAAATTAATTATATCATTCTATTAAGAACAAGTTGCAGATATCAAAAAAATTACAATTACATTATATTAATTTTTATTAGTCGAAAAAATTAAATTTTATAAGAAATTGCAAGTGTACGAACACTTTTGTGGCCCACTGTATATATGTATATGTTTTATTCAAATTTTCAACCGTTAATAAAATAATTTTTATTCCTTCACTCAAGTTCAAATACATTTTTTAAAACTTTTAGTGGTGACACTTGATATTAATACTGTTTTTCAAATATTAATTCATCAATATTTTAATTAATAAATTTTAAAAAAACAAAAGTAATAGTCCATCACCATATATAAAAAGGGAAATCTTTCGTTGTCTCCCAGTAGCGCAATGGGTAGCGCATTGGACTTCTAATCCAAAGGTTGCGGGTTTGAATCCCACCTGAGGTGGCGTAATTTCTGAGAATGTGGTTTCTTTTTGACATACTATTTTATTGGAATAATTAAATTTAATTAATGAATAAATAGTAACAAACAAAAAAATAGTGCAACACCCTGTTTAAAAATAAAATGAAAAATTGCGAGGAAAATCGCTTTCTATTTTGTCACTTAATATTGTGATTCTGTCATATGTATGTGCATATTTTTATTAATTGTAACTATTTAATAAAAAGTAACTAAAATAAAATTCTTCTTTGTTCACCTAAGTAGAATTTTTTTTTATATTACTTGATTTAATTTTCTGTCTGTGAGGTAATTAAAAACCAAAATTTCTGAACATATTATTCAACATAATTTTATAGCAATAAACGTTATGCCTGTGTGTGTAAATTTAAGCTTATTTGAATGTGATACTAAAAATACCGTTATGTATAGAAATCGTCAAAATTATTGTCTTTGTATGCAATGCTCAGTTTTCATTCACGTATGCAAGCCTTATCCGTGTCAAATCTACCTAATGTGTATTTTTTTTTATCACAAAATCTATTTAATGACGTCACAACTTATCTATCAATATCAATATTTGCATTTGTTTATAGAAACTATCTGTTGATTTTAAACCGATAAATTAGAATATAAATATAAATTTATCCAATATAATTCTGAATATAGGTAAAAGTTATAAGTTTCATTAAAAATATTCACTTGTTTATATTGTTATGTTAAATTGTTGAAGAAAAAAAACTTTAAAGAAAGATAAAACCTTGTGAAAAAAGAGTATGACTAAATATTTTAATCGTATAAAAATTTATTAGGAAAATATTTTGTGCATATATGTAAAAGTACATTTGTTCATTTGAGAATAATTTTACAAGCCGATTAATCACATCATTTGTGTTTATTCAGGTTAAAATATAATCCAAAGTCTTCAGATTATTGGCACACAACGCTTGAAAGAAATCTTACTAAAGAATGGGACCTCAAATGTGGGTAGCTGTAAATACATTACTCACACTTCTCAAAAATTATCTCCTTACAAATCAGATTGATATCTGAATTTTTCTCCATTTAAATTACTTTTTGATCCGGGTTATACACAATGAGATCTGTACTGAGTCACTTGCAGCAACCAATTTCGATGCTTGTTCCTACTCTTCCAAGGCTGTGCAAGAAAGAAAAAAAAAGACCTGCCTAAGTTCTCACGGCGCCATTTCTTGTAGAACAAACTTACCTTTCCCTATGGAATCATAATTAAAAAGGGCGGAATTAGAGAAGTCCTCCCGTTACCTCAAGAACATGGTTTGACGAGTTAAACACATTAGACAAGTCAGAAACTAAAAAAAAAAGTCTTCGCTAAGGGCTGTGGCGTAGGATGAATCAGGGTCAGGTATTAATATATTTGTTCTTATAGGTCTTCCAATTCTTGTAACCCGAACTGTGAGAAGATATCTGTGGGCGTTTGGTTTATGTTAGAAGAATAACACTGGAAGGGCCATTGCTAATATGTATTGATGAAATGGTTGCCTTGCCCCTTTAAGTCATTCAAATTAGTATGCTACTAGTTGGATTTTGAAAAAATAGGATTGGAAAACTATAATTGATTCCATAGGGTAGGATGTTTTCAATCATTTAGTTATATTGTTATTCTCAGTTGACTACTTTACTGTTTGTGTGATAAAATAAATCTGGGCAATTATTATTGTGCCTTATAGATGACAGCAGGGTATTATGCAATAACAATTACATTTTGCAATTATAACGTAACTGTTTTTTGATAAGAAATCTACCCAAATCTTCATAAGTATGTACTATAACTATTTGTAATGAATTATCTCTTGTCAAAAAAGGACTGTTTGTTTTGTTTTTAAAGAATTTGTTTAAAGTTAAAAATGGCGATTATTTTGGAATAGCCAGATAATATGGAACAGGTGACTTAAACCAGGGGTCTCAGTGGCGTAACGGAAAATATTAGGACCCCCCGCAAACTCAGGTTTTAGGCCCCAAGCCCAAATACGTACTTTGTGTCAGTCAAGCTTTGGGCCCCCCGCAATGCGGGGTATACGTTACGACACTGTGTGGTCCCGAACCCCCGGGCCGCGGATCGGTACCAGTTCGTGAATCAAACTGTTCCGGGTCACCCACTTAATTATTTCCATTTTATTTTCTGTGGTGTATTTCTCTCGGATTTGTGTCACTTTACATGGAAATCACTTTATATTCCATGTTAAATCCCTTTATATTCGTTTTTTAGTGTAACCATATTTTATTCTGGACAAACTTAAATTAAAATTATTAAATTAAAGCAATCAGAAATATAAACAATCAACGTTCCACTCTCAGTGGGATGTGGTAAAATTATCAAACGTTGACCGCGTTCTGCGGCGATGAAAATGTTTGGAAGGGCTGGCTTAAACCATTGGAAAGCTAATTAGACTTAATAAAATGTAATTATTTTTAGCTATGAAAACCATATTTTCAAGATTATGTGCAACTCATTTCTGTTTCGAGTCTATTTACAAAAGTCACAAATTTTAATCGTTTTTTGCTCCGTTACAGTCAAAGTAAGCCCAGAGAATACAGCTGAAGCATTCAATCCAAGTATTCACACGTTGATCTTCGGCGAATTTTCCATTACGGAAGATGCATTCAACTTCTTTGTTTTCTGGATCTTTAGTTGATGGCACGTAGTCCATAATAGATGACACATTAGAATGGATCAATTCATCGCTGCTAATACTGGGATCATCTCTATAGTGGACTTAGGTCTAGAAGAGAGGTCGATCTAAGTTTTTAATTTCTTAACAGTGGGTCTTTCAATGTTCGGTTTCTTTTTTTTTTTGTTTTGAAGATTCTAGTTTCCTCTTTTTTTTGGAGGGGGTACTATTTTCAGTTTATCCTCTAACTTTTATTTATTTATATGGGGTGTATGTTATTACAGAAGTTTTAGCTTTCTATAGCATGAAATACCTAGTATTCCATAATACCCGATACGCCATCTTCGAAAAGAACCTTTAAACTGAAGGACATAACATCGTCAGCTAAAACATTGCCACAGTATAACAAACTACAATTCTTTTTAGAGTACATTATTCTTGATATCAATGTTCAATTCACATTTCTACTAGTAAGGTAAAATGTTTGAAAGCTTGCCTGTGAAAACTTGTGAAAATCGCAAAATACTCTTTGTTTTGTAGCGAGTAATTCGACTACAACCAGCAGCCAATTCTCTCTGTAATGCATCATTGAAGTCATTCAATTCCTACTATTAGCACACACTCTCTATATAGTTATTTATTTATTTATCTTGGTGGAATTTTCAATCGTTATTTAAATACATTTTAAAGCGCTCAATTGAGCTGAAATTTTATATACATGATTATTTTGGATGACAATACAGCAATTTAATTATAACTAATAAAAATTAATTGATTAAAACTAATTATTCAAAGAATGGCAAATACAGCCACGTTCGCATCATTTTTTGGCGACTTCGCGACCATTTTGGCGACTTGTGTGTCGAAAAGGTTTTTTCTCACGCTTTAAAGCATTCAGTTGAACTGAAATTTTATATACACGATTGTTTTGGATGACAATACGATACTTAAATGATAATTAATAAAAATTAATTACCACTTAATGTTGTGATTCAATCATTTGTATATACAGATTTATATTAATTGTTACTATTTAATAAAAAGTAACTAAAATGAAATTTTTCTTTTGTTGATCTAAGTAGAAATTGACTTAAAACTTTTTTTTTATATTACTTGTTTTTTAGTAGTTCACAGTTTTCCCTCGCGGTAGCAGATCCAAAAAACCTCGGTATTTCATATTTCTGAGTGTACAACTATTTCATTATGAAATTCTTTTTATAGATATAATTAATAATATATATCCTGCTTTAATACAACTTCTTCTTCAATGGCTCGACAGCCCTGAGTTGGGGCTCTGGGGTTCTCCAGAAGTTTTCTCCAGGCATCTCTACTTTTGGCAACTGTTTTCCAGTTTTAATATAACTTAGATGTGTTACATATTTAATTAATAGAAAATTGTGCGCATACGTTATATTAATGCTCATTTATATTAAAAAATAAATATTGTTTATAAATTACATAATTAAAAATGAATTTTAATAAAAATATTTTATTTATTACCGTAATATTACAATATTTGCCCGAAAGTATTTATTGCTTCCTAGAAATTAGAACGGGCTTGAAAAATTATTATTGCTATACATATATAAGCAAAATTTTCTGCGAAAAAAAGTTATTTTCCATATTTAAATATGATTCACACAACAATCTTGAGAAATATTGAACTTTTCTGGCACAAAAGATTCTCTTGTCATTTACTTGATTACGAAATTTTTCTCGTATTTCTCATTATTTACAGAGATATAGATTACTTCGTAAAATAAAGAAAATTAATCATTATTTTAAGGGATCAAGCTAGATAAGCATAGATTTAATTTAACGAGTTTTCTTAGAAGTTAATCAGGGAAACTTTTTTTTTGCCCTTTACGAAATCATCTTAACAGTATAAAGCAAGAGAAAAAAAAAACGCGCAGGGTAAAAAAAAGTTGTTTGTGGTAATAATCTTAGAGACTAATTATTAAACTTTAAAAAAACTTGTGAACTGTACTTAAATCTTCAATAATTAACTAACAAGAGTTTTAAGAAGATTCTTATTTCCCTTTGAAATAAGTAAAGCATAGTTTTTATTTACTTTAAGTTTTTTTATATGTAAAGAAATCCATAATGCTCGTTAACCATGTTCGGTTGCTGAACTAATTATACAATTCTAATTGTATTTTGCATATATATTTCATTATTATTATTAAGAGGCAGCATTTTTTTTAACGGCGTCTTATATTTAAGCTGTAGTAATCACAATAAATATTAAGTCCGAATCAACTTAATATTAATTTATGATGAATTTTTTAAAATTACACTTAAGATTAATTAAATTTTCCGTATTGAAAAGTGAGATATAGAATTTAATCTCATATT